ATAGCTACCGCTTTCTATTTTAAACGTGTACTAGAAGTGCAGACCTATTTCTAGTTAGTTCTCCCTTTTTGCGAGTCGGAGCTACCTCTTCCCTATCTCTTCGTTTTGGCCCACCTCTTCCCTTCAACCATCTATCGGCGCCTGCGGTCCTACCAGAACCTGCCTCGGTAACTACAATTCCCCTGGCAACAATCCTCGAAGTAAAGCTCGCCTCTCTCGTGTCCTCCGACCTTCAGTCCCAGGTAGCCCTCAGACCCATCTCGGTAATTGTACCATTGTTCTTTTCTGAATGAAAAGAGCCACTTCCACAATAATGCTCACAGATTTCACACGTCTATCTGCCAAGGTAAGATATAATGGAAGTATTAGAGTGTAGAGGTGATACCAGAGTGTCTCGAAGTGTTCCAATCCACAAAAACAACTGAAAACATTCACGCCTTAAGCGAAAATGAAATCTACACCATTATTGCCCGTGACGCTTCTAGCGAAGCCTCATCACCAGGAGACCAACTCGTTTTACCCGACTTTTTGTAACAGTTACATACCTCCAATAATAACTATTTATTTATATTTCAAAAATGTATAGGTAAAATTGGCATTTTTACGTATACGTGGCCACTTCGCGCTTCGTAAATTGGGTCTATTTATAGCAGAGTTGCCCCAGTTGCAAGGCGTCAAGGACCACAACTGAAACCTTACTAAGGTCGTGGGCCGTACTGCGGGAGATCCGCGCCTCCCTTCCCTGCACTGTTGAGCTCGGGCCTTCGCCCGGCTACCTCTGCAACGGGCGTGTTGAGGCCGTGTCGTGCATATCGCAGTGAATAACATCGGGATCATAGAAAAATAGCCTTAACCCTAAACTTAACCTACTATTACATTGAAGGAGGTGTTGACCCCGGCAGGGCGCGTGTTTAGGCGCACCGTATTCTCTCCCGACATGGACGAAGGAAACTTCCCACTTTTGGCTAATAATCTTTCGCGAACCACAATAAATGGCATCGCGGGCCGCCAGTTAGACAATCCTGATTCATAGGAATGGCATACACCATTACTTGCCAACGCAGTAATGTAAACGAAGGTACTTCAGCTTCGAAATATGTCAACCTCTTATTCATTAATAAACAATCTTATCAAAACTAAATAACTTAACATAAAAATGTTAGGGCATCCAGGGTGTCCCACCAACTATGGGTCACTCTCATAACTTCTAAACGGCTCACGATATCATGAAATGCAGTTTTCACTCAACGAAGCGGAATCATGGGGTAAGTAATATGCTATAAAGATATTGGCTGAAATATTTTAGTTTTCGAAATATTTAATCTTTAAATGTTTTAAATGCAACCGTATATTTTTCTCACTTGCAATAGATCATAAGAGAAATGCAATGATGTATCATATTTTCGTCTTTTGTTAATATTTTGAGTATAAAATTATACTTTCTGACACGTGACACGTTTTAAATTAAACGTGCAGTATTTCCTGTAACAGCCTTTGCAACTCGCTTTTGGAAAAGATGACCTCTGCCCTGTTCTTAAGAGTGCCGGCGCCGTGAAGGCTACCTTCCCCAAAAGCAGAAGTTCGTAGAAAGGACATTTCTCAAAAATATTGCTACGCAACATGAGCTTTTATGAATTCGTCATGATTAGATTCTTTCTGCGAACAAATGCCTTTCTTTTTTGCTAAGTCGATAATATGAATTGCAATATTATCAGTTCATGTCTCATACATACAAGGCCTTAGGGTGTCGGAAATTTTTAAACGGGAGTATAACATTATCAGGTACTACGATGCATTGGTAAGTCAAATGCCAGATACTGTAAGAACATATTTTAACAAAACTGGGCATGAAAGAAATGATGTACGAAAAACGCTTCAACATATGAAAATACTTTTAAAACAGTTTACAGCGTTGGCGACGCCACATTCAACTGTGTCTTGGAAAGGGAATACTTGATATTCCCTTACCAAGACACCCCCCCCCCAACTCACACACACAGAAAATTCAGATCATATAAGACAATTTTAAAGAGGCAATTACTTCACCTGGCACCCTTTCCCCGGCCAAGAAATGTTATCTGAACTCACTTTTCAGACCTTCCCTGTCGTTACGCCGAAGCAGCAACTTTGGCTCGTCGGAACACGTCAGCAGCAATTGAAGCGAAGAGATTACGTCCTGTCGGGGCTATTCGCCACCAGGACCCGAGGACCAGCTACTCCTGTCAAGTCTTCTGCCTGTTCTTGGACTAGAAGCAGACATGCACTCAACTAATACGTGTGTTCAACGAAGAAGTAGATAAAACGCGGCTGATTTTTCTGGAATTTCCTGGTGGGGAAGACCCCGATAACGACCTTTTCTCGCTTAGATTCAACGACAAGCAAAAGACGAAAACGAATGTAGTTGCGAATGCGCAACTGAAGTTGCTAGACCGGGAAGTCGTAAGCTCGAGTCCCGATGGAGGTGGATTCTTCGACACCAGCTCAGTGGGCGAGATTGAATGACACCACTTCCTGGATGAGAAGACAAGAGGCTGAATTCTCTTGATCAGACTCCTTCGACACATTTTAGGCGGATACCTCAAAGCACGGGCCGAGCACAATTCTTTCTCAAGCATCGTCTCTCCACTCCCATCCCAATAACAACGGGTGTAGATTGATGTTTTCGGGCACGTCAACTGCTATGGTCATCGGTCCCACAAGTGTAGTGAACTTTATATCCTGGGATGTTAAATATGGAGATTTTCCCTTCCAGGTATCTCTCCCAATGAGTCACCGCTTCCAGAGTAGTAATGCCACATCGATAACATAACATGTATGTTAATAGATCAACTAAATAAAATGGATTGATCGATTCCGAGCGTTTCAACTGCTGAGGTCATTAGTTCCGTAAGTGTAGTGCATTCTTTAACAAGGGGAGGAGGCAGTGATATTCCCCCTCTGAATGGCGAGATTCGCCCCGACCTGACGGGTTTTCCACCAACCAGGCATCTCCCACCAGCGGGGTACCGCCACGCCCGGAGCAAGCTCTAAGCTTCCTACCGGCCTCCCGGCACATGTAAGTGTGAGGGTGTATATATAAGGGGTGAGGATACGACAAGGAAGAGGAAAGAATGATCGCAGAAGGTCCGTGGCCCGTTTGTTAGGGTAGTGCTTCGGCATTCGCCTACCGTTGACCCGAGAAACCGCGAAAAATTACCAATCAGAACAGCAGGCCGTTAGCATTCCCCTCCAGACAGCGACTGAATTTGTCTTGGCCATGTAGCTAATGTCGAAAATCCTGCCACCGCCGGTACTCGAACCTAGAACCTCTCGATCTGTTACACTAAAGGCAGATCAGATCAGTTGATGACCTGAGCCACTTCCTCTCCGGTAAAATGCGATCGAAGAAATAAAATATTCGAAGTTGAACACATACTTTAAAGCTGGTTTAGTAACCGCAAAAGAAATTCGTACGCAATTAAATTCAATTTGACAGTGGCCGTGCTGATTAATTTACAATTACGGTTTAACTGACAATAATACAGAAAATAATAACAATGGACCAAACGAATCCTAACCTCTCAGGGAGGTACAGTCTCCAGTTAGGCGGAGAAGGGTACGGGGAACAAATGGGAAGGTCTTCCGCCCATGGCGCTTGCGTTAGCCATCTATCGACGTGAGGAATACGAGGGGAGAGGTCATCTTGAGTTGGAGATAGTATGCTCAATGAAAGAAATAGTAGTACAAACAGCGTTCCTTTAGTTCGAAGACAATCTGACAGTTGTACCATAAGCCATTACAACATACTTTTACTAAACAAAACTGTAAATACTGGAATTTTTCGTTCCCAAAGAAAACGTCGAGCAAAAACATCGGCTGCAATGCGTGTGTATTTAAATCATCAATATGCGATGTTTTGGAAACATCGTCATCGACATTGCATTGCATTCCTACCTCACACGGGACAAGCTCTAAGCTCCCGACATAGAAGTAGTGCAGTGCATGTAAATGTGTGTGTCTAAGGCAAGGGAATAAAACAAGGAAGGGAAAGGAAGGATCGCGTGCGGTTCTTAAACCATTTGTTAGGGTAGTTCTCCAGTATTCCCCTGATATTGATCGGAGAAACCACGAGAAACTACTGCTCAGAGGAGCCGGTCGCTCAAATTCTCCTTCAGAAAGCGGCTAAAATCGACCTAACTAAATAAAGTTTCGCGCAAAAAAACACAAAACTTCCCATTTTCTAAAAATTAAACATGACCTTACTTTAATATCTATTTTTGATAAACAGAATCGATAAAGAAATACATTTTATCTTCAATATTGTAGGAAGACACCAAACAATAACTTTTGCAATTTTTAAAAAAATCGTGAATTTCAATGAAAATGAAACCCGTACCATTTCTTTAAGAGATCTTCTCGCTATGCGAGGCCAAAGCTTAATCCAATAATTTGGAGCCATTTTTGAGAAAACTGAATTACCGAAGAAAAAAACCGTTGAAGTATACCAGATCTATGATACTGTAACAAGTTTCCTTGTTACAGTGTCATGGATCTTGTATACTCCAACGGTTCGTTTTTTTCGGTGAAAGCTTCATGTAAAGAATACCAAAAAATCAAAACATCAGTTTCAAACTCACAGGCCCTTGAGTTCGATCAGATTGATCAGGGATTATTAATTTTGAAGAAAACCGGCAGAGCAATTTAGGCGGTAGCATTGACCATAGACACGTTTCAGCATCAATCAATTTTTCGGTACCAAGGACCCACGAAACTTGGTTTCTGACTACACAACGTGTTAGAAGATGTAATTTGCAATATTATCAACAAGATTTATCTTCGTTTTTGATACCAGAGCCTTTCAAGAGTTTCACTGAGAAAAAATCGCCGTCTTATCGTCGCTTTCTCAATACTGCGAAAGCAGAATGCAGTAAAAGTAAAAGGGGTCACCAAACCATGCGCATAGTTTATAATCTTATAGAAATTGTTTTATATAGCAGAAAGATTTTTCAGAGACAACAAACCTGTTTCCTGCAGCGGTCTGAAAGATGATAAAACCATTTTTGTCGGGCAATCTTGATTATCTTCGGTGTAGTACCAGCACCATCGGTTGCACACTGCCCACGCGAAAAGAGTTCGCACGTACACGGAAACCGTGTCTACCTATCGCTGTACACTTTCAGCATTTTCACCCGAAACGCACGAGGAAGCTGTCGAACGAAGACTGACGAAGACCTACAAGGCGAAGGTCACTGACCGCATCGTATTTCTCAGGTCAAGCGACAGGGTGCGCTTGTCACTGATGCTTTCTACCCTGTCGCGTTTCATCCCAAATTACGGCGCGCCGCAAGGTACGGTACCAACCGTTTCATTTCCACAATAGTGAACATTAATGAAGCAAATAGCCGCTAGTAAGATAATTAACTTCTTGAAGATTATTTATTCAGAAAAAGTGGGAAAGTATAATTTTTTTGGTTTGCTGTTCCCTCCACGGCCTGAGATATGTGAAAATAAAAAATGATATTTAGCACCTATGATATTATGACCTAATTTTGTATTTCTTGAACCAATTATTTCAAAGCAAAACATTTTCTTATCAATTATTAATATATAATGTAAGAAGTAAATTATATGTTTTGTATCTTGTTTAATATAATTTTAACTCTTCCCTAGTATTTTTAACTTCTCATATTGAGAAGGGAAAAAAATCTGCCCTTTGGATAATGTTTATTTTCTGTGATAATTTCTATGATGGCTTGAATGACCTCTCTGACTGCCCTATCATGATACCATTGGGTCACTTTCTAACGCTGTAACAATAATTTATCATTGCACTCTTGTCAATGAATGACAAAAACTATACAACTAACAGTTTTCATGAAAATAATTTATTTTATTACAAGACTAGATTAGATTTATTTATTAAAAAAAAGTAAAAACTGCCTGTGACGTAGGGGGAAGAAGATCACCTATGCATGTTTTCTTGAGTTCTAGAATCCCTTCCCATCACTTTAACTAACAAAGTTGAAAAATATGTAAAAGTTTAAAATAAACTAGGAGGAAAAAAAGAATAGCGAGAGATTAGCAATATTTGAAAAAAATAGTTTTGTTTCTGATATAAAGAAAACTATTGTATTGCTAACGAATTGCAAGTATGATTTTGTTGAAATTGCTATAAAATAGTAACTTTGCCTTCTACCTCTACTCCACCATTACACGCCAAAAGGAGAGCTCAACAAAACCGTGTGCATAGTGAATAAGGCAACATTTTTCCAGAAAAGGCAAAAACAAGGGGTCCATCTCACATTTGCTCCAATGGATCAGGGAAAACTGCGACAAAAAATCTGATCGAGGATGGGGTCATTGACCCAGAAGCTGAAGTACATTATTTGTTATTAGCATTTTAAGTCTTTTTAAAATACAATACAAATGTAAACTAAATCACTGTTTTGTTAAAATAAACATTATTTTTCTTTTTGATAATCAGTATAGTTTTTAATTGTATAGAAACAGTTATGGAGTAGAAAAGATTTTACACTTACCTTAAATTTGTGAACCAACTTCAATTGTTTAATGTCATCTGGCAATGCATTGTAAAGTAATGTACATGTACTGTCTGTGGATTTCTGATACTTGAGCTGTCGATACTGACACTTGATGAATGTGATTTTTATGATGTGTGTTGTAATTATAAATATCATTATTGCATGAAATATGTTTCCACCATTACATAAGTCACTTTTGACAAATATTACAGATTCGTAAATATATAAGCAAGGCAGTGGTAAGATTCCAAGTTCAATAAAAAGAGGCTTGCAGGGAACACGCGGATGACATTTGTTCATTATTCGAATAATTTTCTTTTGCAATCTAAGGTCAGAGTACTACATGAGTTTCCCCAGAATGCAATGCCATATCTCAGGCAGGAATGAACATTTGCAAAATAAACGCAACGAGCTGCAAGAAGACTGACAGAATTTGAAAGAATTCTGAACGCATAACATAATGAACTTCATTTTTGTTTAATTCTGTTATATGGACATTGCATTTCAAGTTTACAGAAAAGAAGAGACCTAGAAATCAGCTAATTGTATATTGTTCATTTTCAATGGAGCATGCGATTGCTGGTTTGAAAAGCAAAAAAGGATTGAAACTGTTTTTTCTTCATTAACTATTAATTTGTTATTACAAAACCAATTTGAAACTTCTAACATCTAACTATTTATTGTTTCTTTTTGCAAAGAACATTCATGTCATCGACAAACAAAACCATTTTTCTGTTTTTAATAGACGAAGGCATATTGTTTACATATTACAGAAAGTGGATAGGACCTAAGATCGAGCCTTGTGGGACCCCGTATTCAATTGGCAAAGAATTGGAAAGATAAGTAAATAATGTCCTTTCATGTCAGTATGGTATTTCTACTCTTTGAGATCAATGTTTAAGGTTATCCAACAAGATTATCCAATCTAGAGCAATACCACGAATTCCAGAAGAAGGTAATTTTGATAGCAAGATGTTATGGTAAATAATGTCAAAAGCTTTCAAAAGATCTTAAAATATTCCAATGGGTGCTTGATTTTGCTTCATTGATGAAGCAACATCTTTAAGAAAAGAAAAAATGGCAGTTTCAAAAAACAGTTCATTTTCATCAACCTGTAACTGTATTTTAATGGCTAATTTTATTTTCAATAAAATGCAAAATCAATATATCATTCACTTTATTTGATTTCTTAAAAGTTCACTTGTCTTAATCCTTAATTACTCTGAATGTAGTAGCCCTGAAGGTAATGAAAGCTCTGGTTTCTGACTCCGTGTTATCTACAGACAGATTTGAAGTAATATTTTCTCTGAAACAATAATCCATGAAATATGGAATCCCAGAAAAATCTTCAGATTAATATGCTTTATTATTTTAATATTTCTTGTAAGCAAAACATTAATGCACAGAGTTTTAATAAACTCCCAGTTACCATGAAATCAGCTAATATATACTTCAAAACATTGCTTAAATATCACCTTATTAGCGTGTGTCCATATAAGATATCTGCATTGCATTAACTTCTCTGTACTGCTACAAGAGTGACCCTTCTGTACCAACCTTTCAGTTCAATAAGGCAATGTACTATTTAGTAATGAAGTAAAAAATGTAATTTTATGTCGAGATATTGTAAGCACTTACAATTATTATTAACATTTAAGTATTCACATTATTTAAAGTATTTGAGTTAATTAATCAACCACAGTAGGATTACTCACTCTAATTGTAAGTTAGTAATTGCTATTTTATCATAATCTGCTAATGTAATGAATTAATTTATTATAAATGTAATCTTAATGTAATGTAGTGTTAATATTATTTTTAATTTGGTAATGAGACTTTTGTGTAGTTCAAAAATGTAAATTATTTTAATGTTTATTATGACCACCTTCAAGCTTTATTAATCATGTAGTTTATCAAGTAAGTTATTTTAATTATTACTGTAAGTTATATAACTAAATTTAGTTTCTGTTATAACTTCCATTTATTTAATTATTAATATTAATTAATTTTATATATTTTAACATTATTATTTTATTATTTGTCAAGGTAATGTGTACATATAAAATTATCACTGTAAGTGAATGTTGTTAAATAATGTAACTAACATATTGTAGTATTAAATAATTTCTAGATAGACTTAGCTTGATACTTTCTGTAAGTCCTATAAGCAATAAATTATTATTATTATTATTATTATTATTATTGTTATTATTATTATTTTTATTACTATCATCATCATCATTGTTATTCAGATTAAGTTACTGATTGTAGCAGTGTCAAATTTATCTAACTAAAGAAAAGGTTTCCCCTGGGGTTTATCATCTTAACGTGGTGGGGGCTCCATGCTCCAATGTCCCAGATGACCAATTGTCTTTGTAGCAGAGACTTGAGTTTTACCCTCCGATGGAGAGTGGCAAAATGTTTTATGTGGCAACAGGTCCCTTTTATGACACTGAAACATGGACACTGAAAACAGCATCAATTAATAGATTGGACGCATTTGATATAAGGATGATCAACATGTTGAGAATTCCCTGTACTGACAAAGTGTGTAATGACTACATACTAGATAGAAATGCTGAGAAATATTAAAAACGATTAAATTTAGAAAAACACTGTATCTTGGTCATTTACTTAGAAACCCAAAATATGAACTCTTGCGATTGACAATGATGGGGAAAGTTCATGGTAGATGGGGAGTTGGCAGGAAGATCTGGTTAGCTACCACCGCAAATGGACTGGTATTTCGAATACATCCGAATTGTTTCATCTAAAACAAGACAGAGAAAAGTTTGAGGAAGTGGTCGCCAATCTTCAGTAATGGAAATGGCACTTCAAGACGAAGAATGCAAATGTTATTTATTTTTCATTTAAATGTTTACTTTCAGTTTGAAATTAGTCCATTTTAATGTGTGGTCTTTCTATATTGATTGCAAAGTATATAGGTGCATTTTACTGTATGTTTAATCCATAGTCCCTAGTCCACATGCTCATTTTTTTGTGATCCTTGTACTTACTGTTTTAATAAATAACATGTAAACATAACCTCAAGATAAGAATTTCAAATAATTTTTGCCCACTTGTTTTCAAACTTTACAAATTCACTCTATAAATCCTATTATTATTTACCAACACACAAGTACTGTTTAAAATTGCTTTTTTTTTAGCTCTTAAATCAAAACCAAGAAATTGCATTGAAATAGCTACATTGGAATCAAGCCTGAGACTTTCTCTGACTGAACGAGCTGTATGTCTTCAAAAACTTGTATCAGTAAAACAAAGCGAATCTTCATATTTAACTTCAAATGTGTAGGTATAAGGTAAAAGTATGATTTGAGTTGTAATTAATATAATGTTATTCAACATATATATAATTGAATTGTTTCTGTATTAAACGAGAAAAGTAGTTTTATAAACCAGACTATGATGGAAGTAACAGCTCCAATCTGCCCAGAGGTGTTGTAAATTGTCTCTCAGATATTGATACTGAACTACACTGTCTTGCTGTTTAATACTTTAGATTACATATGTTTTACTGTAGGATTCTTCCATTTGTAATGAGTACTAAGCACACGCTTTTATTATTGTTTTGAGTAAATATGAACTTGTTTGCCTTCGTTAATTGAACTTGATCAAAAATGTTTGTACATTATGTCAATAGTTTCATTGCAAAAATATCTAAACAACATATACTTTTGTATCTAGAGAACCTCACAAATATGTTTCATTATTTTGTCTTTCTAATAGATTAAACACATCTAGAAATAAATTGTCATGAATACAGAAGAAATGAATTTGAATGTCATTCTCTGAAATGACCATAGAAATGCTGAAATTGATTCTGCTTCTGGCAATACCTTTCAAATAATAGAATTGTTAACCTTTGAGGAGTCTGTCTAGGAGGTGACACAGCACAACAAAAAATCGAATTGAGTGTTTTAAACAGTTAATAAAAACTACATGAAAGGCTGTCTTCAAAATATCATTTCCACTAGGACATTGCTATGAAATAGACAATCCATTTTTTCTTTTTCTTTTTTTTTTCTTTTTCTGTTACCATTTACTTATCAGGAACAGGTTGGCTTTCAGAAATTCACACCATCCTACTCCCTGAACATAACAAAATACTCTCTTATCTTCGTAACGAGTAAATTGTACAAGTTCCGTCTTCTTATTAAAATCATTGTGGTTTGCTCATGGAGTTCTATACCAAAAAATAAGTGACAATTCATACAGGATGCCATTCATGTACAAATATTAATAATGAACATCTGAATCCTCAAGGGTTACACATAACGCTTCATTTTCTTAAACAATTGTAAGGTATAAAGGGTGAAAAGAAGTTTTTAATAAAACTTCTATGAAAAATAAAATAAAAAACATGTACTCAATATAATTTTATATAACAGATAATTGACATAATTACTCATTTGCTCATTCTAAATTATAATACATCACATTAAACTGCAATACTTTCTAATCAATTTCCTTTCTGCACGTATAATTGTTGAAATTTTTTAGAACAATGATAAAGTCTAACAATCTTTTTCAATACTTTCACTAAACAAACTTTCATAGCTCATCATTCACACCAAGAATGTATTCCCTAGGAACAAACTGTACATGTGGTTTGTGTATGCATCCATTCACGTGTTTCAATTGAAACCTGATTTCCTTCAGAACAAAACCTTGCTACACAAAACCAGAACCAATAAAGGTCTTTCTTAAGTAATAGTTCCTTCTGATTAAAGCTAGAATTAACTTCCAATGTCTGGTAACATAAAATATTAATTATTTAGCTTTCCTGAAATAATTTCAAATATAAAATATTTTGATAGAAACATTATTTCTTTTGTTCTAATAATGCATTGAAATTGTGCTTTTAGTGAAATGCTGAAATAAGACCATAATTTACACTTTATATCACTATTCACTGTCAGTATTGAGGGAAAGATGAGAAAAATTGTTTTGAAGCTTCAAGAAACAATATTTCAAGAAATTTCCGATTCCTAAAATATTGTGATAATTCATATCACAATAACTCACACAGGGTAAAGAGTTGAGTATTAATAAACCAAAAATTAAAAAAACAAATGTAATTGTTCTTTTGCACATACTTTGTCCTAACCAATTCATTTATAAAGGAAATATTTTATTAATACTTTCTCTATTTGGTAATTTAAGCATTTCCCCTGTGTTGCTTTTCCATTATAACCAAACAGACAGTTGATTTTAAGATCTATAGATAGAAATTAAATGAAAGATCTTTGTCAGAAGTAATTTTGCTCAGAAAGATTGGATCTCAATAGACTTCAGGTTGAAACTTGTAGAGATGCGCATTCAAGTCATCAATTCACTCTTCTAATGATGCAGTTAACATATGTTTGTTAGTCTTTTAGTTTTAATAATATTCTTCATTATTCTCTTTAAGTATATTGAAAATCTATGAGGAATTTACTACTTAACTATTCAATGAATTGTTTATACTTCTTTAACATTTTGCTTGTGAGCAAATAAACTGAAATATATATATAATATATATATTTATATACAAGAGGTATACATTTCAATTAGGTATTTCCAGCATGGCACCATTTTAATCCCATACCTATATAAGGATATTTCAATAAGACCTGTTGTTGCCCAATTATACAATTATTTAATTGTTTATGATATTATTTATAATAATGTATATACACATAATATTCTACTTCCTTTATATATAGTATTAAATTAATAAATCTTATTTATAAAACAAAATGGGTTGTATGCATTTTCACCAAGGTTATATTCAAAAGGAATATTACAAATTGTTTATAATGCACAACAATAGTATATTATATTTCACATACAACCAAAATAACTGTTAAAATTAAACAACATTATATCACGTATAAATATTCTGTTATATTTTGAGTAAAAGTTAGTTCTGGGCTGTACCTTTTGGTGAACAGGTCTAGCAATCACACACTTAAACTACCCATTAACAATTCCAGTGTATTATTTGAACACTTTTGAAAATTGAACTGAAACCTCACATTCTCTACAACTTGAAAATACAGTGTTTTATAAAAACATAACAGGTTATTATATCATCTAAAACTGCTTATATATTTACTTCATGGACGATTATGTCATAGCACACACTGTATTTCTGTATAAGGTATTTTACATTTTATACTTCTAGCAAATGTAGCTTAGTACAAAAATATATTTTATTTCTCCAACTTTTTTTTTCAGGGTTGTAACTATCTTTTACCTAAAATTGTCAAGACATCATTACATCTCATAATCCATTAAGACATCCTACAGCAATTCATATCATAACCCTGTTAATTTTTTAACCCCCGTTTTCATTTCAGAATATTAATATGTACTTAAGACACAAGCAAGAAACAATAAAACATTTAACCTTTGCAATTGTTGATCTAAAAAAATCATTGATAGAGAAATTAGGCTACTGTGCAGAAATTAGGCCACAATTCATTCAAAGGGATCTCTGAAATTTGGTGTTTTCAAGACCATATTATTTGGCAATGTTGCAGTGTGTCTGAAAAGTCTGAATTTTATGGAAATATAATTTAATACTTATTCTTATTGTACAAATTCCAAATGTTCATTTCTGCCATGAGAAAAAATAGTTCTTTTCTTTTCCTTTTTTTCTTTCTTTTGTGATTGCTTTATCACATTTATGCTTATTATTCTTTAAAAGCATCAATATCCTAAATATTGTTCATTATTTTATGATGGTCATAAATATCTTGAACTCAATAAGCAAATACTTTCATTTTCAAGTATGCTCAAAACACTAAATGTGTGTTATTTGATGATATTGTGAATAACTAAAATATATTCTCCATAGTTTCTGAGTTTCAAACACCTGCCTTTTATGGTAAAAAAATCATCATTCTTTTCTCCTTTGAGCTTTGTGAGGTATTTATTATGATACAATACAATCTAAAAAATGTAGGATAATTTATATGAATGTAAAAGTTTCAACTGCTTTCATCCAGGAGCAGTTTAATATTTTAAGAAATCATTAGGACAAAACATTGTGGCTAAAAAGAAGAAAATGCAATTAGCAAGGGCAACTAATTTGTCAAAGGAAGTTGTCATTTACACAAGGTCTTTATTTTTTAAGTATTTCCATTCAACAATAACCAATCTTTTTTTTTTTAAATATTGTTTGTTTGGTAAAAGAAAATCTTCATTTTTAGAACTTTAGAATCATTTTCAATATTCAACATATCAAATTCAAAATTAGTATTAAGATTCTTGTAAATGTAAATCTACATTCAAATGAAAATGTTTTATCCACATAACATGCTTAGAGCCATGAAGAAACAGAAGTCCATATTTAATTAAGAAAGGAAGATAAGAAAACATTTGTGAAATTGGCGAATTCTGTATGTATAAGAGAAATGTGATGATATTTTACTTCAAACCACAACTATTTGTATTCTATGACTATGATTGTACTTTTCTGTCCTTCTTTTTTCCAACTACAAGACAAAACGTGGAAAATTCTGTTATTGCTCATGAGTATATGATTAAATCCTACATAAAATTACTCTAAGAAGTTTCAGTTACCCTTAATGTAATACAATGGATTTCAATATCAGAGAGCAATTAGGAGAATAAACTGTTAACAGTGATGTTTGAAGAAATGCTTACAGTAGTTTTTAAAATGTATGTATTGTAATGTACGTAATGTTCAAAATGTATCTTATCTTATTTTGAGCTGTGTTTAGGAAAGAGAAAATTTTCTTAATCCAGTATCTTCAAACTATGATAAATAAGGTTAATTTAATAGGAAATAATGTTTATTTAATTACTTAAAATGAAATTCTATACAAACATGCAGTTTAAAAACAAAAAGATAAATCTTATTTTTAACATATGATATGATGGAAATTATCTGAAGTATCCTGAAGTAGATGTAACACAGAAGTAGCTTGATAAATAGAATGTGAAATACTTTTTAAAACATAAAGACCCTATGTAAAGTGTAAGAGCGACTTGGCACAGTCCATAATTTTATAGAATTCTTGAATAAACTACACATACCTCTATTCTAACAATAAAAACATTTAAAAAATCACAGCAATAAAATATATGCAGTGATTAACAAGGTAATGACGTACATCTCAAGAAGGAATTGCAAGTCCCTGGATGAACAGTGAATTACATTGTTATGTAAAAGCTGAAGAAGCTGGGGACAAGAGATGCAACAAAACTGGAGCACTCGTAGTGCTGTTCTGACTGAGTAAGAATATTTCTCCAGTCACCAATGTTTACATGCCAAATAATCTATCATTGCTTTAATGAGCAACACTTAAGTTGAGCAGTAGTTGCCTGCATACCATTTACATTACATTTTTTAATGTATTGCTGCTTCCAGCTCATCACTTGTATGCAGATCTCTGAGCCGTCTTCAAGGAGACTGTTCACTGCTTTAAATAGGGTTTTCCTCTTACACTGTTCTTTTTGTCATTCTCCAGTTTGTGTGTGTTTGCACTTCTCTCGTCAGGGACACTTCTTTGTTGAGTAGCACTTTTAAACATAAAACAAAACATTTAAATCTATGATATAAAAATACTGTACCTATACTATATACTGATTGAACAAATAAAGCCAGCATTGGTGTCAAGTATTCATTGGCACCAGATAAAAATCTGAATACTATAGAAAACTGAACATATAAAAATCATTTATAGTAATCACAATTATTTTTCAGAAGCGCAATATTATTATGTAGATGAATACATAGGCCTAAAGGAAGATATTATCACTGGGATCTGTCATCCCCAATAGCCATTATTATATGGATATTATTATTACTATTAAAATTATTATTGTTGTATGATTTTGTGCATACTGCAAAGTTTGTCATTACCATTTGATCAACTATCTACATCTATTAATGGTAAGTTTACCATATATTTACAAGTTAATGCCAGCAAATCTCTTGGAACAGATATTCCTAAAGTCAATTTTCACTATTGCACAATTGGCAATAAAGTGGAAGGCAATTAATCATGTGTTTTAAAATTGTTTTTCCATGAAATCTTCAGCCTCTTGATTGCACTTGCTAGCAAATTGTCATTAATGACAGTACATATATCAGAGCACCAACACTTTTCTCCTGCTGTATTAGTTTTGTGCATCCATAGTATGCAGAGCATGTAATTATCTTCTCAGTATACAATGGAATAAATTTTTCCCATTTTATTTTGAAACATCACTAAGAGAAATAATTTTCTCTTTGTTGAAACAAAGGAAGTGGTTGAATAGGTGATGACAGATCATCTTCATCAAAACTTGCTTCAGCTTTTAATGGTAAAGTGGCCAATGCTTTAACTGGAAAACAAAAATATGAAGATATTAATTTTTTATTTGGGAATGAAAGTTTAGAGTAAAGAGAAAACACTAAAACAGGTACATAAAAGCTACTAATGAACAAGGCTGGCTAATTTAACGATCTCTCAATAAAAATCACAAATTAATTTAGTGCCTTTTCATCAAAAAACACTTTTTTAAACAAGAAAAATTCCAATGAAAATTTATACAAATTAAGAACTAATAATATGAATCTGAAAACCTCAAAATGTAATTGATTTGTTTGTAATACTAAATAAAAAAGACACAAAATCAATTTGAATGCTTTATGTTTGTTATTTTCCTATTAAGCACTTAACTGCCCACAATTTATCAGATACAAGGTCTAACTGTTCATGCTAGCACACTTCCATTGCAGAGCATGGCAAAGTTCACAATTTTTTTAAACTATTTTTTTCCCCCACTTTCTTTCCTTCTTTATGTTTTCACATTTTTTTCTATAGCCTAGCAGCTATTATTGTATCACAGATCTCTGAGATCTTTGGGAGACATTTAAATCAAGCAGAATTGGCCATAAGTCAAAAGGGAGTTCTGTCCATTTTTTCTGATTTTAAGAATGGGACTGAGGACTTGGTAGGGAATGAAAGGTCAACAAGTGATCAGTGGCCTAAGGTACTATTCCAGCATCATTCTGGTTAGGATCACAAGAAATCATGGTAACAACTCATCAGGGGACCTTTAAATTACTTATCTGGGCAGTAGTCAGTTTTGACTCATCTACAAAAATCTGCTCTGTTGGTACTCATACTTAGAACCTCCTAGTCATGAAAGTGTCAGTTGCAGACTCACAATTACAATGTCACAGAATAAATGTTGCAATCTTCTAGAGCATACACAGAGGGGTCAAAACTTATTACTTTTTGCCAATGAACTTGTAGTGGGAAATTCTGTATAATGAAGTTATACACATTTATACTAGTAGAATTTGCACCTGATTTTTAGCAACTCCTTACACACAGATGTTCAGCAGATCATATTTTAACACAGTCAAAAATATTTCATATACCTGCCAAACATTTGTGCATGTAGGGTTGCCTACCAACAAGGAGTAAATGCCATGTGTAAAAAATTCTTATAACTTCACTATCCAAAATTCTCCACTATATGTTCATTTGCAAAAGGTTCATTTTTGACCTACATAGATGCCCTAGAAGTTTGTAACATTTATTGTGAGACATTCATACATATGATGTTGCACTTGGTAAAGTTCATATCTGAGATAAAATTATGTTCTTCAACTCACTGAACAACAACAACAACAACTGAAAAATGTTTTCAAGGGCAACCAATGTATTATGTTTTGGAAAAGCAAAATTACTCACAAATTACAAATGTGCAGATACAATCTCATGTAACATCATTTCCAATGGAAAGTTACATCATCATGAACTGACCAGAAATTATGCTTTACAGCCTGTTTCTATTGGTGGTTTCAAATGGAAAGTTTAAATATCAAAGATACTTTTTGATATTTAAACTTATATATATTATATATATATAATATATATATATATATATATATATATATATATATATATATATATATATATATATATATATACCAAAAATTGTAAAATATTTGCCCATTTTTTATGCACTTGATACTTTTGATTATTTAAACCTTTCCATATATATATATATGGAATTCCATATATTATATGGAATATATTTCATATATATATATATATATATATATATATATATATATATATATATATTATATATATATATATATAATACTTCAGGACAATATTGACTTCAGCAACTAAGTAACAACCTACACGTTTTCAAATGATACATATATTCCACACAATATGGTCATAATATTGAGTCAAATACAGATATGGTAACAATATATGGATAGACTATCATGCCCATCCATACATAAATTCACTATAAATCATCAAATAGATTTATCACCACAAATTTTCAAATGCATTTATGCATTTCATACAAATGTTTATCAGGAATTTAACACACTTACAGAAATAAAATATTTTATATGTAAGACTAGGACACCTTTCAAAATTCTCCATGAAGCCACAGATCCCCATTTCAAATGTTGCTTCTTCAACTGTCTTATGCAGTTATAAGGATAAAGGTAAAGGATATACTCACATACATACACACACAGCATCCCAGTGTGGATTGAGAACGATGGATGGAAAGGAAAGGGAATGAGAAGAGAAAATAGTACACAGTTCATGACCTGTTTGTGCTGCTCTGGAATTCACCTGGAAGTGATCAGAAAAACCACAGAAACCACCAAATAGAACAGTCAAACTATGAATGAAGTTTTGTCGGGTGCCATAAACATGCTGATGTTCAACACATCAAGCAAATTTCCAGCATTATCATTTTAATGGCTTAGTGAAAAAAAAATGTTAGTTTTCAATGTAAGAACAATATCTGCACCAAAGAAACAGAATTTAAAAGGAGTTTAGGGTACCACAAATTCCCATAAACACCCAGCTTTTAGGCATTTTTTGCTACTTTTTAGAAACTTAGGAACTAAATATTATTTAATGGTAGGTATTTTTTTCAGCGGAATTTTGGTGAGGTAGTGCTACTATATCCTACAATAGTTTTCCTGGTCACAAAACATTACTTTTAACTATATATATAATATATATATATATATATATATATATATATTATATATATATATATATATATATTATATATATATTAGTATATATATATATAATAATATAAAAATAACTCCATCAAATTTTGATTCAAGGACCAACTCAATTTTGAGGCTACATTTTTCAAAATGTAAATTTTGCCATGCTGCAATTTAAGAAACACTGACATCCAATATTAAACATTCAACATCCAACATCCAATCTAAGAAATGCATTAATTGTATAGTAGTGCAACATAACAATTCATTTTCAAACAATAAAGCAAACTACATATCAAACAAAACATGTATAATTTCTTTCAAAGCTTTCATTTTATATTTGAGTCACTTGATTTATGAATTTTGAACATTTTAATTTTATAATCATCAATGTATTTTTAACTATCTAAAAATGGAATCTCCAAACATTTCAAAAGACAAAGTAGTATAGAATCTTTAAAACAAAAATACAGGAAACAAACAACATAGAGTTCCTGAATATACAGGTGATGAAATCAATTTTAACACATACTAAATGTTAATCGCAAAACTATTACATCAAAACTCTTTTTTCTTTTTCTGTTTGTATTTCTACAATATACGAAAACTATAAAATAGAATAGAAAGTATTCAGCAACTCCGTTTGATATTAATAACATAATATAAGTTTTTTAGGAAGGACTAAAAGCTTTTTTCAATTAAAAATTTGTAAGGAACTTGTGATGTTTAAGTAACCCAACCATGACTTTTTAAAGCCTGTGGGTTTATGCACACTCTGGGAAGTATAAATTCCTTCCATTGGTTTAAGGAATTAAACATTATTTATTTTGATAGAGAAAAGAAAAAAGGAAGACCAACTTGCCATTTATGTGATAATCTTTTCTTGACTGAATTTAATTTATAAAGAGCAGTTTGGAGATTCCTGTACTAAAAATAAAAGCAGGTTATAAAAGGAACCAACCTGACTTGGGATAAACCAGCTACAAATGGACTTTAATCATTCTTGCGGATGCACTGAGGAGGTGGAACCTAAGATCACAACAATCCACTACATATTACAACAGCTATACTACAAAACTGAAAGTAAAACAATATTACAATGCAAAAAAAGTTCATGCAGGAGAAAAAAGTGTTTAACCACCAGCACTCATAAATGTCAAAATCAATCCAGAGCAAAATACCCTGCAATTGCTAAGGACAGTATAAATATGTCCTAAATGTTTCAATACTGGAAATACCACCACAAATAGGTATTGCTTTTTAAAATAATTAAATTTTTAAAATAGGAGTAAGTTGGACTTTTGTGCACATGCAATTTTTTTAATTAACTATACTTGACTTGCAAAGATAATAAATTAAATAAAATTATTATTCAATTATAGGCCTTTTTCTCTTCTTAATATATGTAATTGATATACCCTCAACTATTGAAAATGGACAAACTCTTTGTATATGTTATGGATAGGATACCAATATTCTTGACAAAACTGAATTGTTTGCAGTAAATAAATAAATTATTCAAAGAAGCTATTTCATGTTCAAAAAAAAAAATATTAAAATATTATCAAATGCACAAAACTAAGTGTTACTATCTTATTATTGAACATCAGTGTAGCCACTATTTTATTTCAATAATTCTGTCAATGATTAAATCTTCTATTTATTTCGGTTCAAGTTTTCAGACTTTTTGCTGAACCAATGCCTTTAAGTTACCTGTGTAAATGTAAGTTACATTGTAAATATTAATTATTTTAACAGTAAATTTGTTACTCCTAACTTGTTTAATTTTTGAAAATTCATAAAATGCTGCAAGATTTTTTGAGGTTATGTAATTACTCATTTTAAATAAGTAGTAGTATCACATATTGAAACTGATATTTAAACATTCACAAAGAATAAGCAGTATTGGCAACAAACATTCTTTAATCACATGTGAATTTGGACTCGTGTAGTACACATGGAAAAATTAAATGAAAATAATTTGAGAAGAAAAGAAACAACTCATAAAACAAATACAAAAACATAAAATCATAAAAGTTTAAATAATATGTTTGAACAGCAAACAAGTACTGTTTGCTGTTCAGGATCCCTGAGACCCAATCTCTGATGGAAATTCAGAAAATCTTTCCCACCACCCTGCTTGTGACTACTCCACTAATTAGAACTTCTATCTCAAACAAATCTTTTACATTCTAACCTCATGACCTCTTATATTCATTAGCAATTGAGTGTTGAAACAAAGGTCTAACCCAAGAGACACATCCTTAGTTAAAATAATCTCTCCAGACCCTTGGGTCACTAAAATAAATTAATTATCAACATTATTTTGAAAGTA